ATTGTGTCTATTAGTGACTTTTGCTAAATTTCTAAGAGTAATAAGAACATTGTATTTTTTTTTATCTGAATTCAAAGGAACAGGGCAGAACTGACATTTATATTGTTAGAGCAGACTATGAACTAGCCAAGGAAGGTCCAAGGACCACTGGTGCTTCTAACTCATCAAGGGATGAAGATGTGATAGTCAAAACTGTTTTTTTTTTTTTTAAGGAAAAAAATGTTTCCAGAACTTTGAATTTGAAAAAAATATTCCAAGAAAACATTTAGCACAGTAAATTTAAATTGTGAAAGAATTATAATTTGAAACATTCTATTACTATGCTGGATTATTTTGATCAACATCATTGGCTAAAATGCTGGTGGTACAAGTAAGAATTCATCATTGGCCCTGTAGTCTTCATAGGGCCCTTATTTTTCATTTTTATTTATTATTATATGAATTTTATATCCACTTTATAGTAAAAGAATTGTTAAAGTCAAATTGTGATAAGACATTTTGTTTATTTACAAAAATCATTTATTATCTTTGGGTCATTTTTTTTTTGCAATGAAAATCCATTATTTTAAGCTATCATTGTGAAATTTAATGAATGTGTTAATTCTTCTAAACCGATGCAAATCAATCATCAACTCCAGCTACCATCTATCCTTACACTCTACAAAAAGCCCTTTACCTTGGATAGTAGTTTACTGAAATGCAGCATCATTTGAAGTTACTTTCTGTGAGTTGCTAACGGGAAATTACAAATGCAGTAATAAAATTTTTAGGTCACCAAGATTTATGTTTTATTTAACTGCTGAACTCTTGCTATTAGAGGAAAGGAATGATTAGTTGTTCTCATTTTCAATGTGACATTTACATTAAGCAATAAATGCTCTAGTGGCGCATTAATTTATTTGTCATATGATCCTGGATGTGTGTAATAATTTGTAAACGTTTTCTTATAGCCAAGTGCATAGTACTACACTTTTATCCAGTAACACAAATGCATTTTCATATTCAATCAGTGTCTCTAATTTAATTTTTACAGTGGGTTTAACAGTGCTAGTGGTGAGCAAGCATGTTTTAATTATGGTGTTTATATGAGTCTTTCTGAATATTTATGCTTCAAAAATCTCATTAATGTGAAATAA